CCCCAAAACCCCAAAACCCCAAAACCCCAAAACCCCTAGCTAGTTGAGAAATTGAAAGAAATTATGAGAAGTGAAATAGGCTCATTATTCCGTAAACAGAGAGCTGAAGCTCTAGTTTTACAAGAGGAAATTTGAATATATTTCTACAAATTAATCTACTCTTGATCTTGAACGGCCTACTCCTTTTTGTAGAGTGCAAGATATGCCAAGCTGAAGACTGCTGAGCATATGAGTGATCTTCTTTGAAACAATCCTCTGAGTAATCCTGATGATTCTTCATCCTATATGCTAAATCTCCAAAAACTCTACCTTTTCTTCTGAATCGCTGCTAAGATTATTCAAATAATCGAGGGGGATAGCATTGATCTGGTCTATTAAAGATGTGGAAATCATTATAATAGTGTTAAATAACCTTCAGAGATCACTTGCAGACTCATCCAGACTGTTTCAAGTTCCCCATGGGAACTTTCTTCCATATTGAGGGTTTTCGTTACTATTCTCTATATCTGGTAATTTATCAGCAAAGGAGACCATTCAGTAGGGTGGGCATGGCCCATATATCCCATCTATAAAATATTTGAACATCTTATCATCCTTGTTCTTCAATTTTTCGAGAAGACATTTTTGAATATCGAAGAAGAAAATTTTATTTAGGTGACATGTCGAGACAAGCCTTAGCTTTCATTCAATAAGGTCAGGAGTGTTCATAGATTCAGCCTTGCCGATTACTGGCAAGATATTTGTCTTCTCCTTTATTTTCATCATAGCATAAAGATCGAACTTTTGGAAGTCTACCTCAGGCTTGATGAAGTAGAGGGCTAAGTGGATTCTCTCATCTTTGGACTGCACTTTCACGGCTTTTTGGAATGGTTCAAAATCGGTCTTAGTGTTATAAATTTCTTGAATCCTTTTATATCGCAATTGCTTCTTTGCAATAAATCTGAGAATTTCATTTAGCCATTTGTGCTGATCATCCTGACTTCCGCTGTAACCAGGTTTGTCAATAAAGTTAATTCTGAGGTTGTTCTTTTCTAGAAAACAAGTGGTGAGGAATAAATATTAATAATTAGCAAACTCTTTGAAGAAGTCCTGCTTACCTTGTCCTCCCATAGAGCTTTGAAGTCTATCTTGCTGGACTCTGAACAACTTCATAAATGAAGTCTTGCCTATTCCCTTCGGGCCGATTAGAAGAATATTAATCTTTTTGTTCTCTTTGCTCAATTGTTTGATTTCTTCCCTCACCTGATTCTCAATCTTCTTAAGGTTCATTTTTAGCTCTTTGAGACTCTTGGGGTCAGCTAAATAATCAGGGTAGGCTCTTACATGACTCAGAGGCTCTTCCTTCAGCCTTATCTTCTTCACTATTCCTGTGACTAACATTTTCATTAGATTCTTCCTGGATTCCATCATTTTCTTCAAGGACGTTGTCGATATTCTCACTTCCTGAGCTATATGTGTGCTCTATAAAGAGGATTAGATATTCACAATTTCTGGTTCCAAAAAGCAAATCCTTACTGATGAACGCAAACGTGTCCTTTTGATTTACCTCCCCGCTTGTGCTCATGTAGAAGTAATCAGGGTCATCGTTAATTCCTTCCTCTTCTTCAGAAATAGGCCCGTTCGCTCCTTGGTTATCAGCTGCTGCCTCTCCAAGCTGAGCATTCAGGCTGAGGTTGAGGTCGTACCGTGACTCAAATGTTTTCTTATCGGACTTTTGGTGTCTCTTCTGGAAAGACTTTGAGTGATCTGAATCAGAATTTACCCTATCTCTCTGATTCTTGATATCATCAATGCGTAACTTAGCACTAATATCTAACTCATAGCTAACATTCTTAGCTTCTTCGTTGGAGGAATATTTGGTAATGCCTTTGGTAGAGATCCTGGAGTTCTCAAACTTCTCTTCAATCGAATCATAGTGATTATGGTTGTCGTTCTCTGAGGTCCAAATGAAATTAGAGTTGTTCTCAGAGTCGACTTTTCACTCACAATCTTGGTTGTCCTTGCCTCAACTGCAGATCATTAGCTTCTCCCACTTGTCCTTGTCTTTGTTAAGTCTAAGCTTCTTCTTGTCTGATTTTTGATCTATCGGAGATGGGTTAAACTCTCAACAAGATTTAAGAGACTCTAATTGAGAGCTGACATCATGAATATTCCGTTGAGAGGTGCCTTCACTTCAATTTCCCATATCTTTTTCAGCTTTGAATGAGTTGGATCCTCGCTTTCTTGCTCCAAATTTTGGCCTCTTGATCATTTTATATACTCGCGTCTTTGGCTTAAAACTGGGGAGTTTGGTATTCTTCTTTCTATATGTAAGTTTGAATTATCCAATCATAAATTATAACAATTTTTAAAATAACGATCTTTATTTTAGGAGGTAAAATTTCTATTTCTGAACCCTACGTCAGCATAAGTTTTCTGGAGTGTATACCCACTTGGTTTTAAAGGAAAAATAACAATTTTGGTCAGCTTTAATCTAAACTAGGTCTTTGTGGAGGCATAAAAAGATACGGAAATCCTGCCAGAACAGCTAGAGAGCTTACTCTCCAAATTTCGTCTGATTTCCCACCAATATTCAGGTGAAAAATATGAACTCGAATGTATTTTTGGGAACTTACTTGGATGAAAACTGCTGAAAAGGCATCCGAGTGTCACTATGCAGCTTTCTAATATTTTTATTCCCAATGCTAGGCTGGATGCCTACTCCGAAACTCGAGCTTGCCTTGCCTGCTTTTAACATGGGTGGAGGGCTCTCATTACCTAGATTTCAAATAAATTTAAACTGATAATTGATAAAATATGCTTACTGTTTCCTCCTTTCGAGACTCCTTTCGAACTATATCGGGTTAGTTTTTCCGCCAGATTGGAAGTTTGGAAGTAAAAAGATTACCTATCAGGGTTTAGATCATAGCGGTCTTGAGCTGGAAGATCTACTTTTGAGCAATTTAGCTGTTCTCTCTCGCTGTATAGACCCCTATATTGATGATGTCAGTAATTTCAAATTTGTTATTTGAAGAATTTGTTGCTGAAAATGCCAAGAAATTTCCATTAATCTACTTTTGTCGAAATCCTACACATACCAAACAAAATGTGGGATTTGCAAGATGTTGATTAGCCTCAACAAAAATAGTAATATTTTCATTGTGGAGAGATGTTACGTATGACCATTTTTATGAAGCTAATCTAAACTTTTACTGTCTCTAGTACCACTACAGCCCCATACTGCAAGTCCAGGAACAAATCATACCTATTGGGCGAAGCTGAAGACTCAGAGTTATCCAGTACTTCTCTGCTAGACAGAGAGGTTTTATTATGGAAGTCAGCCATAGTACTATTTAATTTTAATAAACCTGGTGATCTCTATTTGGACTTAAGCAGTGGGGTTTTGGGGTTTTGGGGTTTTGGGGTTTTGGGGTTTTGGGGTTTTGGGG